AGCCCTGCTGATGACCCACATGGGCGTCAGTATGATCCCATATGATGGAATTACTGTTTTTTCACTTTGCTTTTTAAAAAACCTAGAAAATTACACACACACCATTAAAAGAGCATTAAAGATGAAAAAAATAAGAAAATCAAGCATTCAAAGATTAGAAAGTGCCAGAATTATGATCGCCTGTTCAACCTTAATTCAGTGCCTGTGCATTATGACAATCTATATAATCGGTTAATATTTTTCCACAGGACTCCTACCTCATTTAGTGCACAGGATGGTCAATGCTCACTTGAGCAGCTATTTAATATATGTTTTCTCTTCATTGCTCAGTGGGTGGCCCTAAGCCCTATGTACTGAACACTATTCAACCCCTACTCTTTGTTATTCATTTCCTCATGAACATTTTTATGGTGCTTGAAACTAGAGTATCTAAGTGCTTTACACACATTATTTTCACAATACCCTGTGAAGTGAGGTAGTATTATCCCAAATTTATGGATGGGAACTGAGCCACAAAGAATAAAACACACACTAATTTTGGGGATACAATTTGCGATGCCTTGGGTGTGATTTTTCAGAGTACTTAGCATTATATAGCACGTCTTATGTTCAAAGCACAGCTCCCATTGATTTCAGCTGCAGCTGCACAAGTGCTGAACACTCACAAATCAGACCCCAGGGTCCTACATTGGGCATCCGGAAAATGAGGGACACACAAGCAGTAGCCACCTGTTAAAAGTCTGGTTTAAAGTGACTTGCCTAACACCACACAGCAACTTGGTGGCACAGGCAGAATCCAATTTCTCCAGGGTTTCATTCAACTTTCTTAAGCACATAAGCATCCTTTTTCTTCCTGCAAACATTCACTACACAACTTCCAGCATCTGCAACAAATGAGGCAGGGGTCCTACTGACAACAGCTCCCTTCACTACACAGCCCTGATTCATCCCCAAAATACTGTCCATCCTATGAGCTGAATGAGGCAGGGGTCCTGTATAAAAAATAGTTTGTGATCACGTAATTTTACTATATCATAATAATGCATACACACAAGAGGACCCAACTGAGGTTGCAGCAGCAAGTAATTGTGGCATTTCCTGAGTATTTGACTCTGCATCCATAATATTCTTTTAACATAATTTGTGTAATGCAGAATAATAGAAATCTAGGGGAAAAAGGGACCTCCAGCCCCCTACTTAAACTATCTCTGACAGTTATTTCTCTAACCTGTCCTTAAAGACCTCAAACAGTAGGGATTCCATCAACTCCCTTTGAAGCCTATTCTAGTACTTAACTACTCTAAATATTAAGAAAAACTTTCTAACTATAAACCTAAATCTCCCTTGCTGCAGATTCAGACCATTACTTCTCATCCTTCCTTCAACGGACATGGAGAAAAACTGATCACCATCTTCTTTATAACAGCCCTTAGTCTTCTTTTCTCAAGACTAAACATGCCCCATTTATTTAACCTTCCCTCAGAGGTCAGGTTTTCTAGACCTTTTTATCATTTTTGTTGCTGTCCTCTGGACTCTCTCCAATTTGTCCGTATCTTTCCTAAAGTGTGGCAGCCAGAACTGGACACACTACTCCAGATGAGACCTCAACAGTGCAAAGTAGAGTGGGATAATTACCTCTTGTCGCCGAGCGCGGTTGGGGCAGGGCTGCTGGCTCTCCCCACATGGTGGGAGTCTGGGGTCAGAGGCTCCTGTCGAGCCCTGCATGGTGGGGTCCGGGGCTGCCGGCCATCCCTGCAAGCTCTGGGGCAGCCGTGAGGCAGGGGGACAGGGCAGCCAGCCCACCCCACATGGCAGGGTCCGGGGCTGCTTCTGCCCAGCCACAAAAGCTCTGGGACAGCTGGCTCATCCCACAAACTCTGGAGTCCGGGGTAGCCGCATGGCTGCCCGCTCCATGTGGTGAGGGTCTGGGCAGCCAGCCCACCACCTGGGGTCCAGGGTAGAGAGCCAGCCCTGCAAGGTCCAGGGCAGCTGCAAGGTGGGGGTCCGGGGCAGGCAGCTGGATGGCCCACAATGTGTAATAAGTTGAGAACCACTGCTTTATTGAATTTTCTCCTGAATTCAGACCAATTCTCCAGGTTTCTCGCGGTCATTTTTAATTCTAATACTGTCTTCCAAAGTGCTTGCAACCCCTCCCAGTTTGATGTCATCTGCAAATTTTATAAGCATATTCTCCACTCCATTATCCAAGTCATTTTGGAAAATATTGAATAATACTGGACCCAGGACTAGGACCAGTATTAGATACATCCTCCTATTTTGACAGCAAACCATTGGTAACTTCTCTGAGTACAGTCTTTCAAGCAGTTGTGCACCTACCTTATAGTAATTTCATCTAGATCACATTTCCCTAGTTTGCTTATGATACCACAGAATCATAGGCCTGGAAGGGACCCTGAGAGGTCATCTAATACAGTCCACTGCACATTTGGCAAGACTAAGTATTATCTAGACCATCCCTGACAGGTGTTTGTCTAACCTGCTCTTAAAAATCTCCAATGATGGAGATTCCACAACCTCCCTCGGCAATTTGTTCCAATGCTTAACCACCCCGACATGAAGTTTTTTCTAATGTCCAACCTAAACCCCCTTTGCTGCAATTTAAGTCCATTGCTTCTTCTCCTATCCTCAGAGGTTAAAGAGAACAATTTTCCTCTCTCCTCCTGGTAACAAACCTTTATGTACTTGAAAATTGTTATGTCCCCCTCACACTTCTCTTCTCCAGACTAAACAAACCCGTTTTTTTCAATCTTCCCTCATAGGTCAGGTTTTCTAGACCTTTAATCATTTCTATTGCTCTCCTCTGGACTATCTCCAATTTGTCCACATTTTTCCTAAACATGGCTCCCAGAACTAGACACAATACTCCAACTGAGGCCTAATCAGCGAAGAATTACTTTTCGTGTCTTGCTTACAACACTCCTGTTAAAATATCCCAGAATGAGGTTTCCTTTTTTTGCAACGTTACACTCTTGACTCATATTTAGCTTGTGATCCACTATGACCCCCAGATCCCTTTCTATCGTATCCTTCTTAGGCAGTCATTCCCCATTTTATGTGTGCGCAACTGATTGTTCCTTCCTAAGTGGAGCACTTTGCATTTGTCCTTATTGAATTTTATCCCATTTACTTCAGACCATTTCTCCAGTTTGTCCAGATCATTTTGAATTTTAATCCTATCCTCCAAAGCACTTGCAACCCCTCCCAGCTTATTATCATCCGCAAACTTTGTAAGTGTACACTCTATGCCATTATCTAAATCATTGATGAAGATAGTGAACAGAATTGATCCCTGCAGGACCCCACGCGATATGTTCTTCCAGCTTGACTGTGATCCACCGATAACTAGTCTCTGGGAATGGTTTTGCAGTTATGCACCCACCTTATAGTAGCTCCATTTAGGTTGTATTTCCCTAGTTTGTTTAGGAGGTCATGCAAGACAGTATCAAAAGCTTTACTAAAATCAAGATATACCACATCTACCACTTCCCCCCCATCCACAAGGTTTTTACCCGGTCAAAGAAAGCTATTATGTTAGTTTGACACAATTTGTTCTTGACAAATCCATGCTCACTGTTATCACCTTATTATTGTCCAGGTGTTTGCAAATTGACTGTTTAATTATTTGCTCTATCATCATTCTGGTACTGAAGTTAAACTGACTGGTCTGTAATTCCCCAGGCTGTTCATATTTCTCTTTTGATAGATAGGCACTATGTTTGCCCTTTTCCAGTCCTCTGAAATATCCCCCATCTTCCATGACTTTTCCAAGATAATCTCTAATGGCTCAGATATCCCCTCAGTCAGTTCCTTGAGTATGCTAGACTGTATTTCCATCAGGTTCTGGTGACCTGAAGACCTCTAGCTTGTCTAAGTAATTTTTAACTTGGTCTTTGCCTATTTTAGGCTCTTATCCTACCTCATTTTCACTGGCATTCACTATGGTAGACATCCAATCGCTACTAACCTTTCTGGTGAAAACCAAAACAAAAAAAGTCTCTCTGGGACCAACATGATTACAGTAATAGTGCATCTCACAATACATGGCAGTTATCCCACAACAGACAGCAAACATTTCTCATAAAGCAGTGAGCCTGCAGGCAATGTGGATGACACTGGGTTATCTACCTATACTGTATACATTCTTTAGTAATTCAGCTGCACTTCGTCCACAAATCTTATAGTGGTGCAATTTGTGTTCAGACTCACCCTTAGACACAAGGGCCTGTGAACTTTATTTTTCTTTGTTATTTATAGATTATGTGCCCACGTGGCAGATATCAAACAAGGATGGAAGCATGGGTCACCAATGCGATCATGATATTTCAAAGGAGCAGTCTATGCACAATGTTATATAGACACCATAGCCCATCACCACTTGCCCTTTATTAGCCACTAGCTGTTTTTGTCCAAGAGCTGCATTACTGAATACACAAGCAAGCAACATACCAACTATTAGCATAAAACTTATTTATAAACTGGAGACGCAGCCAAGAAAGACTTTCTCTTTCACTAACTTTGGTTAATATGCATGTGTTTAGGAAGGCATATGACCTCCAGTTCAACACTCCTATAGCAATCTTGAAAAATAAGAGCTTCTGCATGTAGGGTTATGGCCTGGTAAGGTAGAAATGTTAAGGACATGGGGTTGATGATAGAGAAGAAATACAAGTAAGTAATCTTGCTCCCATAGCTTGGGCTCATTGCTCTGTTCAACTTTCTGCAAGGTTTTATGAAAGGGTTTAGAAACATGCTCCATGAGCATGTGTGTTCATTTGAGATTTGTGAAATATTTTCTGCTAGCAGGAAATTTCAGAATGCACTTAATATTTTTATTGTTACAAAGCGTTCTTTGTTAATAAGTTCTTTCATTAAGACAATTTTTCCTTGAAGATCAGAATTCTCTCAATATCTTTATTTCTTTTAATTATAATATCAAGATATTCAAAGTTAACAAAATTGCTCCTTATTTGGCACTTCTAGATTCGTTTGCTCATGCACTCTGATGGAAAATACTGCTCTTTATTTATTTAATCTGAGTACAACTTGGCAGGAATAGTTTCCAGCAACAGATCAATTATGTTTAAAATATTCTCTGTAAAAAACATTGCTATTTGATTGAATTATTTAGGCACCTAGCCACAAAGGCTTATAGTTTGTTTTTTATTAGTATACTTTTACCAAGAGTTCCTGAGTTTGGCTTAGAAGTTTTAGAACTCTTTAGCAGAAATCAGTTTCCACAGTAAAAGGTTTAGTATAGAAAATTTCTTTAAAACATAAAAAGGTACACAAAACCTCAAAACATCAATTCAAATTTTTATGTTGAGAGCACAAGAAAAAGAAAAGTAAATAATTTTAAATTGTTAGACTACTAATCATATAGCCACGCAAGCCTATTATGGTAAACTGATTCCAATCTCTCAACAGCTCTGAAGCTCTTCCAGCACAGGAGACAGAGAGTGTATAACCCTCGAAGAAAAGAAACACCTGCGGTCACCTTCACTTTATTTTACTGCTCCTCAGTGCAACTCAGTAGCTTGAAGAAAATCCAATATAAACCTCCTTCATTAGAAAAATGATGATTGGGACAAGGAAGTCTCAAAGCCAAGGAGGAGCCTAAAGAAGAAATGGAAATACCCTACAGCCCCACAAAGAGTGCAAGACCACAGTGGAGAGGAGGAAGAGACCTGGAATGTGATGCCATATGATGGATCTGTTGTCCTAATTAGAATAATGTCAAGTTATTCTTCCTCTAGCAATTCCACATTTCATCAGGTCAATTCCATATTTTTCATAATACATCCAAAAAAAGCAAGGATTAGTGTTTTAAACCACAAACAGTGTTATATTTTTATTAAAGGACAATGTTCCAAACAATAAGCCTTCCCGTCACAGTTTGGAGCTGAACTGAGTCATCATTTTTTCCAACTTCATTGCTAAGGCCATGTTACCTTTAATTTTCAGTTTTCCTGACATGAAGGCCATGGTTGGCTTTAGTTTGCCTAAAAAGAGGGAATAAACATGTTATCAGGAAAAAGAAAAGTAGTACAGATGTGCACTGGGGACAACATGTCACTAAAAGACTACTAATTCTCAGATGCTATAAAAAACTTCTCTTCAATATAATTTTTTGGTGCTTTTTGATTAATGTTAAGAATGCCAAATTGCACTTCTCTTTGATTAAATATTTTTTCCCTAAGGTTCCAGTTTAGCAAAGCTCTTCAGCACATATCTGAAGTTAAGTATGTGCTGAAGTGTTTTGCTGAACAGGAATGGACTGATGAATCAGGGCTTAAGAGATACTCCCTTTTCTGAGCCAACAATTCTATGGTGACTTTTTGTGGACTTTATCATAATGACTGATATACAGTTTTATATGTGATGAATTTATGATTTTGGCTATGTCTCTTCTGAATATGTATGAGTGTTAATAGTTATTTTAACTGGAAAAAGTATCAGATAACACAGCATCCAAATACAATTTTTAAAAACGGTGGAGAAATTTTTCCTTTCCAAAAGTATTTTCAATTCCTTCTCACCAATACACTTCCTGTTAGCCCTATTCTGGGCCTACTAATAATGCCAGAGTGCAGCAGAATATTGTGACTTTGTTATACGACCAAACAAGGACTAGATTAAGAACAGCAGTCTTACTTGAGCTGAGTATTTTGAACTCATTTCTCCAGGGGTCAGAGAGACAAATGAACTAACTTATTTTGCTACCAAGATCTGTAGTTAAAATTGATCTCAATTATTCAGTGTTAGCAAAAGTTTAAGTGTTTGTAGTCTGAAAAGAACAAAAACTACTTTTTACTCACTGAATACCACTTATAAAACAAGCGCTCGAGTGTGCATTTGATATCAGTACATTGGAACAAAACTAATTTTGTGCACTCTGTGGATGCATTATACTCACACACTGTAAGTGTGAAAAATTTTAGAGAGGTGATTTGGGCCTGGACCTAGTAGAAAGATCAATGGACCTATTGAGTCCTTTCTCAAACATCTTAAAAGTTGGGAAGGAAAGTGAGAGTGTCTTAACTAGCTGTTAAGATTTCAGTGACATGAAGATAGCACCACGGTTCATATTCTCAGACCAGAACAAGTGAAGAGATGGAGAGAGATCAGGGAATATTTTTTCACTAGAGCCACCAAAAGCCTAAGATTCATCTGGTTATGAGAACATATAACGAGAGAAATATCTAATTATCAATTAGTCATTTGAATAATTCTAAACACTAATAAACCTGGCTCAACTTTGGTAAAGCCTTTTGTTACTCACCTGAAAACATTTTCACAAAGTCATTGCTAGACATGCTCATAACCACATCTACTTTCACAGGTGGCTCTCCAATTCCTGCGCTCCCAGCTTTGTTCTTAAGATCAATGAACCAAGTCCCTCCTTCGTCACCTACAAACAAGAACAATGGAAATAGTTTACAGCGCATCAAATACAAGTTTGTGCCTAACTCCTGACGATCTAGGAGGTAACTTTTCTTGCTGTCAATTGTGTAATAAGACATTAATTATGATAATAGTGTTATGTTAATTTAAATGGTTTAGTGTTTCACAAATGGAAGGGAAGAGGTCTTGTGTCCACATTCTTCAAGGTTTCAAACAAAAAACCTCTTCACTCGCTGTACCTGTGGACGAACTAAGAATGAAGTATTTCTCTGTGCAAATGCTGAATGTATTTCACTGTAAATTTGTAGGTGAAGATTTAACAGAAGAAAGTCTTCCTTACCAGATAGTTCAAACAGATAAACACCTTGGGTAGACCTTACAACATCTTCACTGATTGCTCCCTGAATAATTTTAAATGTTTCTGCAACAGGTCCCAAAGGCTTAGCAGCAGCAGACTCAGCTCCATCGGGGCCTTCATGCTTGGCTGATTCTATTTTCTTCCCCTCTCTGAACACTGGTGAAGCACCTAGAAGATGGGTTTTTTCCACTGAATAAAGTAGATACTTTTTTACACCACTGCGCTAGAAAAATCTGTTTAAAAGTACATACTGCATTTTAAAACTTCAACAGCATTCTAGATCTTAAGACTGAGGAAATATATTTTATCAACTGCCAAACAAAAGAAAGAATTAGCAAATTTAGAATGAAAAGTGCATTTTTAGTCAATGTGGATATTAAAAAGAAAGAGGATAAAGAACTGAAGCTTACTCTGTAATGACCCACACTCCACTGAGGGACGGCGTAGCTATGTTGGTCCTGCCTCAGAATAGGGGATGGACTACAGCGTGCGTGTGTGTATGCGTGTCTCTCTCTCTCTGTAGGCTCCAGCGGTGGGGCTTCAGGCTCTAGCCCCCCATCCCATCGTCCAGGGCTTATTCAGCCCTGCCAAGCATGGGGACAAATTAAGACTGTTGTGAACAGTGATATTTGTATGTGAATATCACTTTTCACAACACTTACTAGCTAGCAATAAATAAATTACAATGATTTGGAAGTGTATATGTGCATATTTATTTGTTTTCCTTAAAGCTAATTAAGTATTTTAGGGGAAAGTGTGAAAGCGGCTGCACTCTGAGGCCACCAAAAAGTCTGTCATGAGAACCCCTTCTCTGGGGTCCCAGTGCCACTTAGGTTTGGCCCAGCCATCATAATGATGGGAGTCCGGGCAGGCCCAATTTGAGAGAGTGGCACTGCAACCCTATGAGCCAGGTCACAACTCCACTCACACAAATTTGGTCCAGTCCAAGGACAGGGCCAAACCTGAGCACCACTGCCACATTAGATGTTGCAACGCCTGGATCAGACAGCCAAGCCCAGCTAGCCCCACAGCACAGGATCTGTCGGAGCTGCCATTGTGGGGTAAGTGCCAGGCAGGACCCAACCCTCCCCCCTGGTGGGGGGGGGGGGGGACAGGACCCAACTGAAACCACCCAAGGGCCTCCACCCCCAGACTATTTTCTGGGTTGCAATGGGCCATAAACATTTACAAATGGGTGCTGAGCCCAAAAAGGTTGAGAACCACTGGCCTAGATGACCTCTCAAAGACTCTGCCAGCCCTACATTTCCATTATTCATATTTCGCCTCCCATACACGCACGCAGAAAACCCCCCAGTAACAAATTGAATTAAATCTTAATTCTGACCTTTTCACAATTTAATTTACAACAAACTCTATGTAAAGAGTGTAACATTATACTAAAATTATTTTCTAGGCTTTTAAATGGTTATGTACGTATTGAATAAGGTCAATTATTGCAACAGGCAAAACAGTCACATATTTTGCATAAAGAATGTGTATGCGCAGTCGGTTTCAGCAGTTAGTTATCCAGAAGGCTTGAAAGGCGTAAATTGATCCACCCTCCTACCATACTGATGGTCAGAATTTTGATTAGTAGATACGTATAAATTAAGCACAATATAAGTGTTTAACTATGATGATTTTATTTGTAATTTACACTTAATATTAGGTTGCATAGTATTTTTAAAAAATATTTTAGAAAGTTAATTCTATATTAAGTTAACTGAGTGATAAAATAGTTCTGAATATTCTATGAAGTGATCTGTTCTTGCTCATTGTTTTCTTATGTAAAGTTTGCTTTTTTAAAAAGCACATTACAACATTTTAATCATTTTCAGATTACAGGTTACAAGAACAACTAAAGACTAACAAATAATATTGCCTCTGAAAACTGTGGCTTAAATGACTACCATCATCTAAGATGTCTGTGGCAGAGCTGGGGGAAAGGAAAACAAAAAACAAAAAAACAAACCACACAATTATCTTGGATCCCACTCTGGTGCCTTAACTGTAAGACCATCCTGCGGAACAGCATGTAATCATACTTTTATAGACCTCCTGCTGGTAATAGCTTATCTAAAGTGACCATTCTCCTTACAATGTGTATGATAATCAAGGTGGACCATTTCCAGCACAAATCCAGGGTTTAACAAGAACGTCGGGGGAAGGGGGGGGAACAACAGGAGAGTGGGTTTGGGGGGGGGGGGGGGGGGAAAACCTGGATTTGTGCTGGAAATGGCCCACCTTGATTATCATACACATTGTAAGGAGAGTGATCACTTTACATAAGCTATTACCAGCAGGAGAGTGGGGTGGGGGGAGAGAAAACCTTTTGTAGTGATAAACACCCATTTTTTCATGATTTGTGTGTATAAAAACAAACATCTTCTGTATTTTCCACAGTATGCATCCAATGAAGTGAGCTGTAGCTCACGAAAACTTATGCTCAAATAAATTGGTTAGTCTCCAAGGTGCCACAAGTACTCCAGTTCCAATCAGGGTGATGTTTACATCTGTGTGAATGTGGAAGCTAGCTATAATTACTATACAGAAGGGTATACAATTAGGCGAGGCAGATCAAAAAAGATTTCTGAGAAGTATGCTTTTGACTGTTTTTTTCTTTTTCCAGAAAGTATGCTTTTGACTGTTTTTGACCCCACCTTAACTAGGGAGCCACTGCCAGTGCCTCCAAAAAACACACACACACACACACACAGAAATCATTTTTGCCCCCAAGTATCTTACATGAGACCAAGTTCTTGGAAGGAAATATATTGAACAACCTTTATGTTTCACTTCAACATTGGAAATTAGGTTCAGTGAATGAATTTCATGTAAGTACTTAATTTCTTACCATGTGCTTCCATTTTCATAGCTAGAGTATTAGGATCTACATCTAGAAAGAAGTCTGGTAGCAATGGATGACCTAAAATAAAATAATGTGAGGAAGGTGAAGATAAACAGCAAAAATAATAATCTATTTTTGTATCAGTATTAAACAAAGTCTAGGCTTCTAAATAGGTATTGTACAGCTTCTGGAAAGCAAAAGTCAGTAGCAAGGGAAAGCCAGGTACCTAATATTTTGTTTTAGAGACAGATTTTACTTATGACTTTGGTCTGTTCTCCAAGAAGTATAAAACAGAACGAGAAATCTTGTGGAGTTGCAATGGAAAACCTTTCATTGAAAAGAAAAAGCAGAGGGTGCCTGAGGAGGGGAGAGAGAAATCACAGACTGAGGAATAACAGGTTGCGTAAATCAGTGACATGGAAACATTTTCCTTTCTTTAACTGAGATTTAGTTAGTGGAAGTTCTGGAAGATTGGGCCAACTGTTTCTGGGAATGCAGAAGGGTACCATGGGACTGAACATCCACAGGTCTTTAGCAGAAGAACAGATTATAAACTTACTTATAGCTTATTTCCTTTCTTAACATTATGTCCTTTCTTACCTGGTGCAACTGCATATACATCAAAATTCTTAATTCCTTCTTCTCTCAGCAGATTTTCATCAATAACAAAGTTTCCTGTGAAACTTTTTGGTTTTGTTAAAATGCAATATGCAGCATCTGCAAGGATATCAGTTTTTCTGCATTGCTGTTCCACACCGGCTCCTCCCAGCATATCCATAGCAGACGTATGTATAGCTAAAAAGTTCAGGGAGAAAAAAGAAAATTTGATGGTCAGCACTGATGTTTTAAAGTTCTTCTCCTTTCTCCGACTGCACACAGACATGAAGTACATAGTGAGTTTTTTCAGTATTCTGTGTTAATTAGTGGTACAGTTCTTCTCTTTGCATGAAAATAAAACTAAGTTATTACTAATAAAGAATAAAGAATGAAGATGGAATAGAATTGTCCAAGGACCGTCGAATCATGGAAGTCAATGAATGGCTACGCAGGTGGTGTCGGAGAGAAGGCTTTGGATTCTTTGACCATGGGATGGTGTTCCGAGAAGGATTGCTAGGCAGAGAGGGGCTCCACCTAACAAAGAGAGGGAATAGCATCTTTGCAAGCAGGCTGGCTAACATAGTGAGGAGGGCTTTAAACTAGGTTCACCGGGGGAAGGAGACCAAAGCCCTAAAGTAAGTGGGGAAGTGGGATACCAGGAGGAAGCACAAGCAGGAGAGCACAAGAGGGGAGGACTCCTGCCTCATACTGAGAAAGCAGGATGATCAGTAAGTTATCTGACAGAGGATGTGGAAAAAGCTAATGTACTCAATGGTTTTTTTGCCTCTGTCTTCACGAACAAGGTCAGCTCCCAGACTACTACACTGGGCAGCACAGTATGGGGAGAGGACCAGCCCTCTGTGGAGAAAGAAGTGGTTCAGGACTATTTAGAAAAGCTGGACGAGCACAAGTCCATGGGGCCGGATGCACTGCATCCGAGGATGCTAAAGGAGTTGGCAGATGTGATTGCAGAGCCATTGGCCATTATCTTTGAAAACTCCTGGTGATCGGGGGAGGTCCTGGATGACTGGAAAAAGGCTAATGTAATGCCCATCTTTAAAAAAGGGAAGAAGGATCTGGGGAACTACAGGCCAGTCAGCCTCACCTCAGTCCCTGGAAAAATCATGGAGCAGGTCCTCAAGGAATAATTTTGAAGCACTTCGAGGAGAGGAAAGTGATCAGGAACAGTCAGCATGGATTCACCAAGGGCAAGTCATGCCTGACTAACCTAATTGCCTTCTATGATAAGATAACTGGCTCTGTGGGTGAAGGAAAAGCAGTGGACGTGTTGTTCCTTAACTTTAGCAAAGCTTTTGATACTGTCTCCCACAGTATTCTTGCCAGCACGTTAAACAAGTATGGACTGGATGAATCGACTATAAGGTGGACAGAAAGCTGGCTAGATCATTGGGCTCAACGGGTAGTGATCAATGGCTCCATGTCTAGTTGGCAGCCGGTATCGAGCAGAGTGCCCCAAGGGTTGGTCCTGGGGCCGGTTTTGTTCAATATCTTCATTAACGATCTGGAGGATGGCGTGGATTGCACCCTCAGCAAGTTTGCAGATGACACTAAACTGGGAGAACTGGTAGATACCCTGTAGGGTAGGGATAGGATACAGAGGGACCTAGACAAATTAGAGGAATGTGCCAAAAGAAATCTGATGACGTTCAACAAGGACAAGTGCAGAGTCCTGCACTTACAATGAAAGAATCCCATGCACTGCTACAGACTAGGGACTTAGGGGCTAGGCAGCAGTTCTGCAGAAAAGGACCTAGGGGTTACAGTGGACGAGAATCTGGATACGAGTCAACAGTATGCCCTTGTTGCCAAGAAGGCTAACAGCATTTTGGGGTGTATAAGTAGGAGCATTGCCAGCAGATTGAGGGACGTAATCATTCCCGTCTATTCGGAATTGGTGAGGCCTCATCTGGAGTACTGTATCCAGTTTTGAGCCCCAGACTATACGAAGGATGTGGAAAAATTGGAAAGAGTCCAGTGGACAGCAACAAAAATGATTAGGGGGCTGGAGCACATGATTTATGAGGAGAGGCTGAGGGAACTGGGATTATTTAGTCTGCAGAAGAGAAGAATGAGGGGGGGATTTGATAGCTGCTTTCAACTACCTGAAAGGGGGTTCCAACAAGGATGGATCTAGACTGTTCTCAGTGGTACCAGATGACAGAACAAGGAGTAATGGTCTCAAGTTGCAGTGGGGGAGGTTTAGGTTGGATATTAAGAAAAACTTTTTCACTAGGAGTTTTTCCTAGTTTCACTAGGAGGGTGGTGAAGCACTGGAATGGGTTACCTACGGAAGTGGTGGAATCTCCTTCCTTAGAGGTTTTTACAGTCAGTTTTGTCAAAGCCCTGGCTGGGATGATTTAATTGGGGATTAGTCCTGCTTTGAACAGGGGGTTGGACTAGATGACCTCCTGAAGTCCCTTCCAACCCTGATATTCCATGATTCTATGACAATAGGCTTTTCCCCTACTCTTCAGAAAAGTCCATGGAATCTTTATGATCCCCACAGAGCAGGCAGGGCTTCACTCAAATACATTTATTCTTTTGGTTTGAGACAAGCTTGATTTTCTCCATGAGTAGAAGACCAGACATCTGCTTAAATCAAAATCAAGCGTTAATAAGAAATAATTTACATCCATTTTAGCAAAGTGATAAGCTACAGGGAACAAAGTTAATCAAATAGATTCACATTAAATTTCAGTGGATTCAGGCGTTCTTGTTAAACCCTGGATTTGTGCTGGAAATGGCCCTCCTTGATTATCATACACATTGTAAGGAGAGTGGTCACTTTAGATAAGCTATTACCAGCAGGAGAGTGGGGTGGGGGGAGGTATTTTTTCATGCTTTGTGTGTATAAAAAGATCTTCGACACTTTCCACAGTATGCATCCGATGAAGTGAGCTGTAGCTCACGAAAGCTTATGCTCAAATAAATTGGTTAGTCTCTAAGGTGCCACAAGTATTCCTTTTCTTTTTGCGAATACAGACTAACACGGCTGTTACTCTGAAACCTGTCATTAAAAAGATAATAGTTCACAGCATTTTAGATGCCACACAACTACTTCATTCTTCTCTCTTAGGACGTGATTACCTGAAAATTGTTATCTTTCTTTTTCATGTATTTTGAAGATAAACATTTTGAGACTGCTTTTGTACATTCAAAAGATTTTAAGCTATTATTCCTCCTTCTTAATTTAGGATACTGTGATCATGGAGGCAGACATTGAATTACAGATACTTTGAAAGCCTTATCTTATGTTTCTAATGCTTTTAAAGTGAATTAGGGAAGACAGATATTCACTACTATAAAGTTTAGTCTGCATATAGAACATTTGATTTTACAGAAAGTTTTTAATTACCTTATAAATTACTGTGCAGACTCGCACAGAGGGCACTTTATAAACAAAAGAAATTTATTAGAATATGTTGTTATTGCTTGAAGACTGGCTCTTCAGTGCATCAGGTTTTGAAGGCTCCTGTGATGAGCCTCACTCAAAATAGAGAGAGCTTCTAGCGTGTCCAACAGTACTTTTAAATACTTAATTTGTAAGATACAAGTGCTTTAAAAAAAAGCTAGGGGGATATATGTTCAAAAACACCTCTACCCTGATATAACGCTGCCCTTGGGAGCCAAAAAAAATCTTACCGCATTATAGGTGAAACCACGTTATACTGAACTTGCTTTGATCCACTGGAGTGCACAGCCCCGCCCCGCAGAGCGCTGCTTTACCGCGTTATATCTGAATTCGTATTACATCGGGTCACATTATATCGGGGTAGAGGTGTATAATTAAAAGTAGTAACTTTCCACACAAAAAATATCAAGTTTGAACATGTTTACTTAGCCAGAACTGAGAGCGCCTGTTATGTGTAACTGCACAGGTGCTATTAGTTCTACCACCCTTTTGGAATTACACAGGTTTAGAGGCCGATTTCATAGGAATGGAGTATGGCGTGGGGAGACAAAAGAACCATTTCCTCTCCCACCCCACCTCTTAGATTGCTGACTCTATGGTGGGAGATGGTGGACAGCCTCCATAAGGATAAACTGAAGTTAGCCCATGAAAGCCAAAGTGGGGCTTGAAACCCCAAAGGGGAGGGCTTGTACTGAAGTACTGAAAGTAGAACCAAGGAATGCCTAGTATCAGGTGTAGGGAAACAAGGGCCTCCAAAACAGCGAGCCTCGCGCTTTATTCCAGACAGCAGCAAGGCAGACTGTGGAAATCCTTGGCACTCTCCTCAGTGATGAAGTATTTCGAAATGGGCTTCTACTCAACTAAAATGAAGGTTAGAGTCTAGGGCAGGAGAGAGTGGATAGCCTCTCTCCTGAATCTCCTACAGAGCCAAGAGGGGCTGAGACCAGAAGAAGGGAGTGCAACCTCTTTGGGGGAAGTTGATCCTTCATTCAGCAGCAGGGAAGGCAACACAGGCCCTAGAATTGTGGATGAAGACTTCTCCCTCAGTACTCCAAGAATTAAAAGTTCCTCTTTTGGAACTGGACAATTTCCCTGCTGAATGCACCACACTTAGATCTCTTGCAACAGAACTGGAACTCAGAGGGAGTGAGGGTTCCATCCAGAGTGGATTTAAAAAACAAAGTGATGAATGGTCAAAAAACTGGTTTGATATAAATACATTTTTTTTTTAAAAATAAAAATATTTAAAATTAAATTTGAAATTCTGGCAACCTATGTTAAGTCCTAAACTTGCTATATTACTTATTATATAAAAATAATTTAAATTGAAAAATATTCAAGCAGTACATATTTGATGAAGTTTTTGTTTTTTTTTTTAAATCAAACTACTGAGCTGGCAGAAGTCACTGACTAAGCATCTGGACCCACAGTTTGTGAAGTGCAGAGAGAATATCTTAATTTCAGTTTACTCAACTAGTTTAGTTCACTGACTAGTTCGTTTAAATTTAAAACTCCAACTTGGAGTTGAAAAAGCAGGCAAGCCTCTTTTCCTCTTCCAGTGTCTGACTAAAAACTGGCAAGTGGATGCGATCCACGAGTTCTAAAGTCCTGAAGGATAGCGTAACCATAAAATCAGTTCACTCTGCTAACTACAAATAATCATAGAAATGTAGAGCTGGAAGGGACCTCATGAGGTAATCTAGTGCATCCCTCCATCCAATGAAGTATACCTTTATAATACTTTTTTTTTTAAGAAATCACTTTTAAATGCAAGACATATTTGATAAAAACTACTTTTTTCTCTTATGTATCCAGCACATTTAAGGTAGTTTTATTTAATCTAATAAAAAAAAAAAACCTTACATGATGCGTTTTTAAATTGAATTTCACTTTCCAGCCAAGTAGAGCTTCACATAAAATGTGAGTAAAAAAATTAATCCTCTAGTAAATAAGAAATGTGTCAATCACCATTTTCTAACATAGTAAAAATGGAAAAGTTAGGAATCTGAATAAATAGATGTTAAACTATATAACTGCTTAAATAAATATGCACAAATACTTCTTGCCAACCAGGAGCATACATTGTAACACCAAATTTTGGGTAAATGGTACATTTAGTTGCAAATCAACATGTTTTAATGGTTACCAACCAATAAGCATCAACCTTTCTTTAGGAAAAGAACTAAGAAGTACAAATGCAAAACAAGATTAAAATCAAGTAGATAAACCAAGGTTTACTACTTGTTGATTTAAATCAATCCATTTTGGTGCCCTTTCCTTTGCTTCTTCTCCTTGTTACTTGATAATGAGAAAGACAACTTTAGTGACAAAACCCAAGCTGTTTTTGGCTTCCAAGGCCCTCTCAGAATAGAGCATATCTCAGACCTGAACTTGGACAGCCACAGGGATTAGGGTTTTGAAGGAGCAGAGACTGTGAACCTGGAGAGCTACAGGAGCTTCTTCCATCTGCATGCACTGAAGCCAATACTCAAGATCCTTGTGGGCCAGAGTAGCAAACAAATATCTGTTGGGCAAAAGCCCTTCCACCCAAGCCACAAGAACATAATGTATACAGGAGTCTGTCACAGACGTTTTGCTTCTGCAACGAACACAGCCTTTAAGCTTGGACTCTCCTACAGGATCCAGCATCAGGGCAGGAAAAAAAGAAGACCCCAGAATAACTCAGTTGGGTTAGGAGAGGTAGTTGCTATGGAATCAGAGCTATTTAAATCCTAAAAAACTTACCTTCTTTTAGAGAAGAAACACAGAGGGTTCCGCGTGAGGGAGAGGGTACGGGGGTCTCTGCAGGGAACTGTGATTCTCCGTTGCCATGAGGCGGGCCGGGCGTCTCCATATCTTTTGCTGCCCTCCCCCACCCTGGGGCTGCAAGCCCGGGATGCCATCGGGCATAGAGGCACCAGTTTAGTAATACTGCATAGGGCCCCATAAATCCTAAGGACGGCCCTGGTTTTAACTACAAGTGGCTTACCCTAACTTGCCCTTTTCTCTACTCGTCATAAAGTTGTGGTTAGCACCATGTCAGCTAACTTAGCTATTATGAACTGTGTTTAACTAGGAAAGTCTCCTAGTATAGACAAATGTTAGAGGTGATCTCCCCAAGTCGGGGCTGAAGCATATTGGCAGGGCAGCATGCAGAAGCTTCATTTTTGCCATCTGTTCTACCTGTTCTTTTGTTCAAAAAAAGGACTTCAATCTCAGAGAGTGTCAATTCACCACCTGTTGTAAGTACTAAATTCACATACAAAATTTAATTCAGTTTTTTAACTTTGTTTGATAGTTTAACTTATGATAATAGCAGTAGGTCAAAATGACCATAAAGCTTTTGGAGCAAAGGAGGGAGGGAAAGGAAGGAAGAGAATTCCAGCTACTTCTCAGACACAGATTCACAAAGATGTAATTGATAGAAACATCTGATTTCTTTTTTAGGACATTTTAATCGACAGCAACAAGTCCCTTTTTTATTGGAGTGCCACTAGAGTTCGCAATTTTCTAGTTCCACAGTTGTTTCACACTTTCTTTTGAAGCACATAAGTTGAATCATTTAAGAGTACAATTAAAGTACAATTTTGTAATGTATTAGTGGTGCAAAGGTGCAAACCTTATTACTCAGCGTATGTGCCCAATATGCTAGAATTCTAAGCATGCATGTACTCTTCATATTCGAATGAGTATAAGCAGCATATGAAAACTGTCCCTATGATCCTGTATAGCACTTTTCCCTTTTTCAAATCACATCTGTAAGTGGCTATACCTTATAATACATCCTAAATTAAAAAGACATTTAAGCCATATTGACCTACATGCAGAGAGGGTAAGCCTTAGAAGATGGATAAAATACTGAGAAGAGTTATGTTCTATTTTTCAAGCTGTTCCCCACAACTGTAAATCTGGTTACCTCCAGTCAAAGCATTACAAACTGAACACTTAAACAATTAACAAACATCCAAAAAAATCAAAACCTTTAAAATATAAACTCGACAGATTTACTTTGCTACTCAAGGGGTCATAAGAGATTTTTAGTTAAGTTATTTATGTCTAAAGTAATGAGCAGCTCTAGACAGACTAATGAGACATAAGAACAAATGTTAAGAAACACATTTGGACCTTCCTACATTCATTTGCTTTAAATCACTAAAGTGTAGATCTGTCTGTTTTTACAGGGATAGTGTAACTTATTGTGCAGGTGGAAGAGAAGGAAAATATCTAAATTTTGCAAAGGAAAACACTAGAATAAAGTATAATGTAGCCCATACCTTTGATTCTCAAAATAATCTTACCTGGTTCAATTATTGTTTTCTTCAAAATGAGAGACTAAGGCCCCGTCTACATATAGTTTTTGTACCAGTATAATTATTTCAATTAAATATGTGACTTTTTTTAAACCAAAGTTGTTGTGCCAGTACAATCTCATCTAATCGATCACCCCATGCAGGACCAAGTATATCTAGACTATCCCTGACAGGTGTTTTTCTAACCTGTTCTTAAAAGCTTCCAGTGATGGGGATTCCACAAACTCTCTAGGTACCCTGTATTCCAGTGCTTAATTATGCTTACTTTTCCTAACATCCAACCTAAATCTCCCTTGCTGCAAAATAAGCCAATCACTTCTTGTCCCAACTTCAGCAGACATGAAGACCAATTGATCGTAGTCCTCTTTATAACAACCTTTTATGAGCACTTTGGAGGGCAGGACTAGAATTCAAAATTCTTGACAAATTGGAGAATTGGTCTGAAATCAACAAGATGAAATTCAACAACGTGCACAGTACTTCACTTACAATGGAAAAAAAAATCAAATGCACACCTACAAAATGGGGAATAACTGATTAGGTGACAGTACCACTGAAAAGGATCTGGGGCTTATAGTGGGTCACAAATTGAATATGAGTGAACAACATGATGCAGCTTCAAAAAAGGCTAGTATTCTGGGGTGTAGTAACAGGAGTGTTGCATGTAAGACTTGGGAGGTAACGGTCCCACTCTACTCGGCACCGGTGGGGCCTGAGTGGTAGTACTGTGTCCAGTTTTGGACACCACACTATAAGAAAGATGTGAACAAACTAGACAGATTCCAGAGGAAAGCAACAAAAATTAAAAGGTTTAGAAAACATGACCTAAAAGGAAAAGTTTATATAACTGGGCACATTTATTCTAGAGAAGAGAAGGCTGAGAGGGATCTGTTAAGTATTTAAATATCATAGAATCATAAAAACGTAGGACTGGAAGGGATCTCAAAGAGTCATCAAGCCCAGCCCCCTGCGCTGAGGCAGGACAAAGTAGTCAGGCATTCCAAACACTATCAGAACTTGCTTCTTGTCAAATATCTTCTCAGAGCACAGATGCACAGCACATATTAAAGATAACATATCCCTTTGTGATGCTGTTCACATCAGAGTCCTGTGCACGTTAAAAAGGGAACAGAGTAAATGAACTTCAGAAAAGCAATGGGCAAATGAAACCTTTAAAAATATTTTTTTTAAAGTGGGTCAAGTGAGCCAAACATTCCACAGGTTGCTCCAGTCAAGTGTAAGGCATAAATAAGCTGCTAGCAAGCAGCCACTCACTATTTGCAGAGCATGCGGTCAGCCATTTGATTACAGTCAGTGGCCTAACAACTATGAAAGAGTGGTGCATCTACCAGACACCAGTATTTTGTAGGAAAAACACTGAATCTGAGCAATGAAAAACAACAAAAAACAAAGAAAAAAACCCCCACCCCTCAGAACAGTGAACTCATTTTCAAATACCTGCTCTGAACAATCTTAAGAAAGCCTATTCAAAGTGACATACATGAGGTCTGCAAGATGGAAGGTTGAGCAGAGAAGAAATACAACTACTAACATCAAAGAGAACATTATAGTATCTTAAAACAAGTCACCTGTTTGAGGCCATAAAGCATTGACTGCAACTTCTCCTCTAAATTCTTCTGCCATCCCCAGCACGCACATGGACATGCCATATTTAGAAATGGTATAAGCTAAGACAAAGTAAGAATTTTATTTAGTCAGGTAAAAATATAATGTCTGCGACAAAATTTTAAGATTCACTGATTTAATTCTTTACTCCTTGATGTAGTGTAATTATTTATTAAAAGAAGTTCCTTAGCGTGGAACAATCTGCATAAAGTAAGAACTGGGAAGAGAATGGGTCTGCATTGAACTTTTTAATTAACTAAAAGTTTTGAATCTAGAATCATACAAGATTAGAGTTGGAAGAGACCTCAGGAGGTCATCTAGTCCAACCCCCTGCTCAAAGCAGGACCAACACCAACTAAATCATCCCAGCCAGGGCTTTGTCAAGCTGGGCCTTAAAAACCTCTAAGGATGGATATTCCACCACCTCCCTAGGTAACCCATTCCAGTGCTTCACAACCCTCCTAGTGAAATAGAGTGTCCTAATAGCCAACCTAGACCTCCCCCACTGCAACTTGAGACCATTGCTTCTTGTTCTGTCAAGATTAACTTCTTTATGTTGCCATTTATTATTGTTTCAACTGCACTAAAATGGCGACTACAGAAACTTTTAACAGGCGAAGAAGGTGATCTAGTTTCACTGTAGGTTTGAAAAATTAAGTTTTTGCCATCCTTTGGCACAAAACACTTTGAAGAGGATAGAGACAGCAGAATTGTCATCAAGCTGTTCCGTACACATAGGGTCTATGACTTGCTTCTGGCCCACATGACTAGAAAATTGTATTTCATTATTCTTATAAAAGAATGACAAATCGGGGGTAATTTTGTCTGTTTTTTAGGTAAGGAAATGATTAGGACAACTATTACCATCTACCATGGTGTTTCATGGAATTATGTCAATGGTATTCTTTATATGGGAAAGGGCTGACAGGGCCATGGAGAGTGAATTACCCTCTCACCCCTGAAATAGTCATGAGGCATGTTGTGTAGGCTTCCCCAGAAACAACAGGTACAGTACAGGCTATGGTAAAGCAAGGGCTTCAGTATCCAGGCCTGTCACTCTTGTGCATTTCATAATTATTCATTTTAAAAACATTTTAAAAATAAGTAAATATAACACCACCTACCACAATGATTTTTGAACCATATGGGATTCAGGTTAAGTGGTGGGCTAATGTTAAGGATATGAGCAATGTTACTCTTTCTTAAGTGAGGAAGGCATATTTTAGACCTGAAAATGAAACAAAAATTAGACATGTTAGTAGTTGTCAGGTGCATCTCTTTTAAACAAAAATTTTATAATTTTGGCAAAGCCACTATCTTTTAAAGATACCAGTGGACACACAGCATCTTTTAAAGTAAAAGATCTCAAAGTAATCTACTCCAATCTTTTTTTTAATTATAAAATATATATATATCAGGGTTGGAAGGGATCTCAGGAGGTCATCTAGTCCAACTCCCTGCTCAAAGCAGGACCAAACCCCAATTTTTGCCACAGATCCCTAAATGGCCCCCTTAAGGATTGAACTCACAACCCTGGGTTTAGCAGGCCAATGCTCAAACCAGAACTATCCCTCTCTCCCTCTCCCCGCCCCCCACTTTGCACCTGCCCTCATATCAATATTCTGCTTAATCTAAACAGAGAACCAAGATAATGTCATCTTACCTAAATGAAAAGTCCTTCCTAATATTTATGCATGCACACTGGGCCAGATTTTCCAAAACAACTTAAAACCCACAAATAGAGGCAGATTTTCAGAAGTGCTCAGCACCCAGGAGCTCTAATTGTGACACTTTTAGCTAGATATTTTCAGACTGTTAAACAATTTATCCAATGTATTAAGCAGAGAGGTTTTTCTTCCACATTAGCCATGCATGTCATCCTTTAATTTTTTTCCCTTTCACAAAAACATACTATAGGGAAAATCCCATTCTCCGTTAAAAAGAAAACGGCACCCATTTTCTTCAGTTCAAAAGTCCAAAGACTTTACAGTGTATAAGGTACTTGTTACCATAAATAAGATGCAAACTGTTTCTTATAAAAGCTGGTCAATACAATTGCCATCTCTAAAGCTAGTGCTACAGATGGGTATCTGTTGGAAAGTGATGTAATTTACGATAGTTAGTAGCGAGAAACTGATATAAGCTTTTAGACCCCAATCCCACAATTGACTACATGCAGTTATGTGCAGTCAATTACGGGGGTGCGGCTTCAGACCGTCAACAATTTGGGGAGTAGAGATTGTCATTTACTGTAAGTCTGAACAGTGCACAGCACACCGGGGCCTGAATCTGGTTAAGATCTCTAGGTTATGCCACAATAAAGTATTAAAATAGTAAGTAGGATTAAACACATTTCCAGTCTACTTTAATAATTGTTTCATAGTCAACCAGTACTCAAATATTTAAACAAAATGTTTAATTTTTATGTTATCAGACATTAAATTACTTCTCATCTGAAGAAAAACAACGTTTGCCTTCAATTCCAAAGGCTACAGCCATGACTATGAAATCTGCTTCTTCTTTTGGTCCAACAAGCCCAAGTCCATTCACCTTCTGGGCACTTTGTAAGGCACATGCAGCCATTATATTTCTCAGTGGGAGGGTTGGGCAAGGATGGTTTTGATTGAGATGGAGAGTGCCTTTCAGTGCAATTTTTTTGATACTGTATAACTCAAATTAATGTATGCTTTAATTTTCTGCAAGTGTGTAAACCAAGACCATGTTGATAAGAACATGTATAAAATAGAAAATTTAAAAACCACACACAACCATGCTACTAATCTTAATGAATGTAGTATCCTGCACGTGGAATTTACCACAAATCTCATTAAAGAACTGACTTTTTACACATTTATTAATAGAACCTGGCTACACAAGCAGCAAGGGAAGAAGAAAAAAGGGGATGAAGTGTGTGGATAGATTATGCCCTAGGTCTTCTGAACTAATAGTTACAGTGGTAGTAACAAAGACCATTCCCTGGTGTATGGGACAGAGAGAGCCTGGAGCAGTGGGCCTGGTATAAGATCTGAGGCCTGAACCATAATCAAAGTTAGGCCATGTCATGAACCAAAGTCAGGCCATGTATTAAAGCTGATGCTTATAAATTTACTGTCTGATACATGATCTTGGCAAAGATATTGCTAGTGTTGCTAGGACACAGGCACTCCTAAGAAGCAACAGACACTGGGTATGTCTGTGAACACTCTCCAAAAGATTAGCCCAGGTACATCCTGACCGAACTCCAGAGAGAGGGTTGACAGCAGAAATGCCTGGAGCAAGATACTAGGGGAGGTAACAAGCAAATGTCATGAAACACGTATGGTGATATGTAAGTTGTTCGTCTCAATCTATAAATATCGGGATACATCACCTTAACCATTTGTGAGGCTGAGGGGACAACAGAAATTCCTCGTGCTGACTGAGCTGTTCCTTGCCAGTGGGCACTCGTGTGTTAGTGCACCTGTAACCACAGAGCCAGGGCACCAATACCGTGCCTTGAGGGCAATAAACCTGGCCGAGTGCCTTTGTCACTGAACCATGCCGGTGATCTTTCTTTCTAGGTAGTACTATCGAGGTCTGCTGAAACAACTATCTGTGCATGGCTGGGACAGCATTATGGAGAGAGCATACATGCACACCAACTGACAACACCTGGTAAATATTTTTCTTTGGGTGTCATTTATCTTTCATATTTGTCAATGGGTAACAACACAAAACTAAAGCTATTTTCCCCTTTTAATGCACTGTAGCAAACAAAGAAGAGATAGCAATGTCAGCACTCCTTACAGATATTAATCAAAGTTAATGTCACCACCGAGGAAATGTGGTTGCCATTATTGAGAAAAATACGACTGTAATATTGTAAATGAGAAAAGAGTATTTATTCAGAGATGTGGCAACAGACATTCATAGGGTGTTTTTCAATATTTTCTTGAAATGTTTTCCTGCCTGTTATTCTAAAGGATGATTTTCCCTAATGAACTGTGGCACTTTACCCATAGTTAAGTAACACGTTACAACTACGTTAGGAAAAAACTAAAACAAAGACCACCTCCTTAAGTATAGCTTCTTTAGTACAACATATAGTATAAGAAACAGAAAAGTGTTTTTGTTGTTTACCATTTTTAAACTACTTTTATAGCAACCTCCTTCTCCCTCCCCACCCCCACAGGTTTTATACTATTTTTAAAAGATCAGAATCATTTCAAACAAATATGCAATTCCTTTTCACTAGGTTAGGTTCATTACTCAGACAATATGATTTTAAAAACAAATTAATCTTTATAATGTAGCACTACAGATGTCGTGCTAAGAATAGAATTCAAAAGATCAAAGAGCTCCTTGATCACCACAAGCATTAATTGAATGAAAGCCTCAAAATTAAGGTTTCCCCAATTCTGAACAATTTTTAAAAAATGATACACTAAGTGTCTAGAAAATATGAGATTTCATCTTAGTGCATTACCAATTTGGAAAGATGAACAAAATATAAAAAGAGCCATACAATTGTGGAGTCAACTCTCAGTGATATTTGATGAAGTAATGAAAGCAATATTGTTATGATGGAATTGTAGACCACATTTTCTTTCACTGAAAATTGATTTCCTTCTTAATTATTCTGATTTGTTTACTGTAAATCATTTGACAGGCATTTTTCCTTCATAGGGCTGAAAAGGAACACTTGTAAGAAGGCAATTTACAATTAAGATACACCCATCACAAAAATATACAAAGTGATTTAACATTTATAATGATTTCATTTAGAACAAGAGAACAGGAAAGTTTTAGCAAAACCTGGGGTCTTACGATTTGAAGTTCATTTGCCAGAACTGCATTAACTTAGCTGTTTGTTTCCTGTATGGAGAGCCTGAATACTTCTGCGTCACAAAGTCACCGGTCACCAGCATTCAAAATCAGACATTAAGAAACAGATCCACAAAGGTATTTATGCTCCTTACTTCCATTACTTTCAAAGTATGTTAGGGGCCTAAATATCTTTGTAGATCTGGGCCCTAGATCTTACTGCAAACCTAGGAGAAAATCTTTCCAATGACACATCCTTTCGTCTTTCAACCCAAAATAGAGTTGCAAGAGTTAATCTTCAACCATTCATTCAGAATCTCTCAATTATTCATTCATGTATGTACGTGTGTGTACACGCACTTATACCTTAAACTTTCACCTCAAATTAAAAAGTTAGCATAATAAGATAACTATAAAAGTTACTGCATGAAGTGATATTGTTAACTAGGTTGAAAATTATGTAATTAAATCTACTGATGTATTTAAACAATTTAGTTTCCCCCCATATAGTACTTACGCAAGATAGGTTCCTCGTGCGTTAGCACTCATCATAAGATCCACTTTCTTTGTAGGAGTTTCCAAGGTGCCAGTCAAGGAGATAGCACTCGCATTGTTCACCAAAATGTCTATTCCTGATTTTAAAATAATTCATTTTGTGTTAATATTTTAAACTCTACCATTTAAAACAAAAAGCGGAGAAAAAACAAAGTGTACTATCCAAGTTTATTCAATTTTTTTAGCTAATCTTTTGACTATTTTGACAGAAAATTTAGAAGGCTTTTCATTAACACACACACACAACACCCTCCATGATCACTCATTATACCTCCAAATTTCTCTACAGCTTTCTCCACTGCGTCAACTATTTGCTGTTCTTCCCTCACATTGACGATGCATGGTAAAGCCTTTCCTCCAACAGCTTCAACTGTATAGTGGAAAAAGAAAGAAAAAAAAAGACATTTCATTTTGAACTTGCTCTTACACTGAGCAAAGGGATAAAATATTCTCTGAGCAGTGGTAATGATTATCAAACAGACTTCAGAAACATATGATGCAATCTTTACAGCTACAGAGCACCATCAACTTCCACTAGCTTCAACAGGAGTCAAAGCTGCTCAGCACCTCACAGGAATGAGAGTTAATAACTGTGGCAAACCAGAAAATTTAAGAGCTGCAAAGGATCACAAGCCCACACAGTGGCATTAGGGGGTCAGTACACACAGACACATTCATTCCTAAGAGAAAACTAACTTTCCTATACAGCAACATCTTCTACTGTTTGACGATGAAAGGTAAAGGGGAATCTGCAATTATGCATTCTTCAGTGAGACTTCCTTGGAGAAAGGGGGAATACTTCATGTTATTGGGAAAAAGCTAAAAGTTAAAGTATGGCCTGTTCTTCAATCACTATAAATTTCTAGGTTTCAGAGGAACAGCCGTGTTAGTCTGTATTCGCAAAAAGAAAAGGAGTACTTGTGGCACCTTAGAGACTAACCAATTTATTTGAGCATGAGCTTTCGTGAGCCACAGCTCACTTCATCAGATGTGTACCGTGGAAACTGCAGCAGACTTTATATACACACAGAGAATATGAAACAATACGAAATATGAAAAAAAAAAATACAATATGAAAAAAAAATTGTTTCATATTCTCTGTGTGTATATAAAGTCTGCTGCAGTTTCCACGGTACACATCTGATGAAGTGAGCTGTGGCTCACGAAAGCTCATGCTCAAATAAATTGGTTAGTCTCTAAGGTGCCACAAGTACTCCTTTTCTTTTTATAAATTTCTAGTGTTCCAAATGTACCTTTAAAAAAATAAAATATTTGTTTTAAAATAACCAACGTCATACTGCTTAAACTGATTGGAAAAGGGCCAGTCACAGGTCCAGGAGTAAATATTGCTCATCCTGACCTTCATGCCAGGATAATTTGTGGGAATAGAGGGAGGAATTCTACACTTTGGAGGCAGGAAAAATAAGAAGGAAGTGTTTCTCTAGCAAGCCGATTTATTTATTTAAAGAACAGAGTAAGCCCTAGTGAGCAGAGGTCTCTTTGTTTCCAGCCCTGTGCACCATTCCCTAGGCCAAAGGGTACTTTGAGGGGGGAATGGATGGAGAATTTACTTTGTCTGTGTCCTGTCCAGATGTGTTTTGTGAGAGGCATGATGGGGCACCGCATGCGCAAACTTGGGGAGGGGGACGGTTGGTAACAAGTTAAGAGCAGGATGCGGTGAATAAAACTGACACGAGGTGGCTCAAAAGCCTACCAAACCTGCCTGGAATTACATGGCTCCCGACCTCAGACCTATTCCCCTGACAAATTTTGAAGAGCTGCTGCAAACCATAGAAGTACTAGAGCACTTTAAAACGGTCTAAAGAATTTTTATATTGAAAAATACTACGCAACCTAAATAAGGATTGCTGCTTCTCGCTCTATCATACTGCTTCCCCCCAAATAAATTATGGAGACTACAGCATACCACTATTAAGAAACATACAGGAGTAATTTAACTCATCTCTTCCTTTTGTGGAAATTCTTTGAAAGAAATAACCAAACTAAATACTGTTTTAACATGTTTGTTAGGTGAGGTACATGTTAAATTAATGGTTCAATGGATATTTTTAATTGTAAAAAATTTGGAATGAAAGAAACTCAAGTCATATCTAACCAACTATTATTTCGTTACCACAATAATCAAATTCTAGGAAGTTTTTTTTTCAACTGGAATATCACATCACACTTTATTCTGTGACTACCATTTAATAAACACTGAAAAGAAACTTTCAAATAATGAATAGTATGTGCCAATACCATAAACTCTCTATCCACATATCTGTATCTATGCACATACACTTCATACAGATACACAGTCTCCATCACCATAGTCTCTTCACACCTCACACACGTTAATACATTTACCTTGACAACACCCCTGTGAGACAGAGCAAGTATTATCCCTAGTTTACATATGGGCAACTGGGGCTGAGAGAGACTAAGTGATTTGCCCAAGGTGTCACAGTCTGTGGCAGAGCCAGGAAATGAATTCGGGTCTCCGGAGTCCCAGTCAAACACATTAACAAGACCATCCTCTCTCTTTAAAACTTACTCTCTTCTGCAGCAGTGTAGATCGTTCCTGGGAGAGTGCGATGAGGTTCGCCTGTCTTAGCAGCTATCACAATGTTTGCACCATCCTTTGCAGCCTTCAAAGCAATTGCTTTGCCAATGCCACGGCTTGCACCCGTGATGAAGAGAGTACATCCTGCTAACTTCCTAGAAACCGGGGGGGGGGGGGGGGAAGAGGGGGGTTCATTCATTCCAGTGTGAAAACAATAAATTAAGTGACTTCTCAGTTATCTTAAAGAGGAAAAATAATTACAATTAGTGCTAAAATTTTTGACTATTTCTTATATACAAGTTTTAATGTAGGTATACCAGAAACTTATTAAGCTGCAGTACAACATTATATGACAGAGTCAGTGCAAGTGGATAATTTAATATGTTTATAGACAGTAGGGCCAAAAAGACCACTTGAGCCACACAAATGGATCCTCTCCGTTTTGCAAGAATACTCAATACATGATTTCAAACAATAACTTTTATAAGTGCTGCAGTCTGACAACAGAGTAAGAGTGCAGTGTCTGAACTGAAATCTCAACAATATCTCAAACTTCTTCTGCATAGCATAATCCACTTACACAGCTTGCCAAGTGTGTTATAAATTACAGAATTCTAAACATAAAAACAGCAGTGTTCTAACTTAAACACGATCTGATGTTTCAGTTCATAATCACAACACTAACAATGCGCCGGGGCTGCAGGGAGGTATCGAAGCCAAAAATAAGTGTTCTGGTTTTCAGAGTTGGTGAGCTCCTATTGATGTCAAGTTTAAAAATTATGCCCTTTATACCCTCCCTGTACCTTGATTTAAACTAACTTTAAAATGAGTGCAATAAAACTATCTTATCTTTGTGAACATATTACAGCCTGAGGTCAAAATTTGGTACATAAGAAAAGTATTACTGAATTTAAAAGAAGTATTTGACAATCCTCTCTCTTAAGTGATAGGTTTTCCAAAAAAGGGAAGTGTATTTTATTGTTCTGAATAAAATCTGTAACTGTCAATTATTTTCCATTATTTAGTGAAAAACCAAAGATCTAAATTTTCAAATGTGCACAAATCCACGCAAGAGCAACCCCAATTTGCATACAGACATACACACACACACACACACACACAGTGCTGTGCACACATGCACTTCAGCATACATACTGTTGAAAATCTGGGGCAGTCTTTATTCATAACTTTTCTCTGGGTCTCAGCTAGCTTTCTGCAAACTCTGAGCACACTCCTATTCCCAATACACTCAAAAGAGAAAATTCTCTGGCCTTGAAAGAGCAAGACTGGGACCCAGTCACCTGTTCTAGCAACTGGATCCACCAGCACAAATCCGTATACCCCGGCAGAGTTCCACTGAAGTCAACAGAGCCCTGCAGGGGCCTGGTCTAGCAGATCCCACTGCAGGATTGAGGTCAATTGGTGAACATGCAGCTATAAGATCAAGAGAACCCAAATAAAGCTCAAAAGTTACTTGACTAGATTCTAATTTCTGCAGAGCCAGCACGGCCAACAAAAGGAAAAAGCAGTAGTTGTCCCTAAATTCAAAAGATATAAACACATGAAGTTGATCCACTTTTTAGAGCAAGGGCTACACTAAATAATTTGGATTAATCATTTACATTGCAAAATCTTCTAGTCTTAAATATATTGTTCGGCAAGTCATACAAAACTCTCCATAGCTCTCTCATTGCCCACATCTCTGCATTTAATTCCTCCCACCAACGGCCTCATGCCCTTTGCCCTGCTGAAACTTCTCTCCTGGCAGCTACCTTTGAACCCATCTACTCTGCAGTTACAAAATCAGGATCCCAGTTACAACATGGATGTTATAACATAGTTTTGTACTTTGGTTTGTTCGACACAAAGAAAACCAACCTATTAAGAGGAAAATGGCTATTGTGGAAAAGGGAAAAAAGATCCTTTTAGGTCTATAATATAGGTTACGTTTTTATTATATAAAGATTATATGTGGGGTTGGTAGTACTGCTCATGATTAAGGATGCCTGACACATCATTATAACATCTTGTTTTCAGTTGCTTACAACTTTGCCAAACTTTAACTGTTTGGGCAAAAAAATGTCCATGCTAGGCTTCTACCTCAAGTTGCTTTTTGGAAAATTTCAGACAAAATGGTTTAGCAGTTTCTGAAAACAAGACTATGGAAAAGTGCAATGTTTGGCTCCTATTAAAACAATTCTGGCAACCTTTTCTTTGAAGAGCTTTACCTCTCCCAGACTTTAGAGCCTGGCCTTGAAAACTCATGGGGGCAAGGGGAGCATCACTATGAGTGTATGCTCACATACCTCTATTCTTTTTCAACAAGCCTTTTTGGGGGTTAACCAGTCACTAAGACACTTACTTGTATGTTATACTCCTTTCTCGTTCCCTCCATCTTTCACATCTATTTAGATTAAAAGGTCTTCAAGACAGGGACTGTCAACTACTCTATATTTGTACAGTGCCTGACATAACAGGATCCCACTCATGGTTGGTCCTTAGGCAATACAGTAATAAATATGATAGATAATGAATCACTTAAACCTAGCTAGCCCACTCTGCACTGCTATTCTGTCCAATTGTGTAGGAGCCTATATATTGCAAGTCCTTTGGAGCAGTTACTCAGTACATTCACACTATCAGGCAAATTACTGTGAGAAATAAGGAACACTCACATCAACTCTACTAAAAAAAAAAAAAAATTTAAACCCCTCAAGAATAGTTTATGTGACTGGTTGCTTTGTCCAGAGTACACGATGGATGAACACAGCACCCACAAAGCTGAGTCCAGAAAGCACAAAATACACCACAAGGGAGATGATCCCATTCGCAGCACCCTGGACATGCTGGACACACGCACCCTGGCTCACGGCTTGAGACACATGAATGCAGGTGGGGGCATAAGCTGGCATGCGGAGGGGTCCCCAAAGCTTAAACTGGAGAGGGGGGAATCGAAAAGGGGAAAAATGGAATGGGGACACGGTCACTGAGCTTTACTCTCCCATCTTACCAAAGCTGCTGTTGCTTCCATATTATGATGCCCCCCCCCAACCACTTTTTTCAGACCACTTTAAGCACGGGGGGGGGGGAGTGGGGCGCATATGACTGGTGCAGACAGACTGACAACGGTGGGGGGAGCAGACAGACAAGCACAAGGAGGCATGGATATGGACGTAGGACAGGTGGGATGGGAATGGGCACAGACCCTGGGGGGCACGGGGCTGACCCATGGCGGACAGAAAAGGGCAAGGGCGGGGAAGCAGGTGGGAAGGGCGCAGGCAGACAGGCGGGTCTCGGGGGGGGGACAGGCAGACAGGCAGGTCTCGGGGGGGGGGCGCAGGCAGACAGGCGGGTCTCGGGGGGGGGGACAGGCAGACAGGCGGGTCTCGGGGGGGGCCGCAGGCAGACAGGCGGGTCTCGGGGGGGGGGGGACAGGCAGACAGGCGGGTCTCGGGGGGGGGCGCAGGCAGACAGGCGGGTCTCGGGGGGGGGCAGGCAGACAGGCGGGTCTCGGGGGGGCCGCAGGCAGACAGGCGGGTCTCGGGGGGGGGGGGGGCAGGCAGACAGGCGGGTCTCGGGGGGGGGCGCAGGCAGACAGGCGGGTCTCGGGGGGGGGCGCAGGCAGACAGGCGGGTCTCGGGGGGGGGGGCGCAGGCAGACAGGCGCGTCTCGGGGGGGGCGCAGGCAGACAGGCGGGTCTCGGGGGGGGCGCAGGCAGGCAAGGCGGGGGGCGCAGGCAGACGGGGGGAGGGGTGCACGGGCGGACGCTCGCAGGGACAGAGCGGTCCCGCTTACCCGGTGTTGGGCAGCATGGCCGACAGCCGCGTACGCCGCGAGGAGGCCGAGCCCCCCGGACGGAGAGAGGGACGGCGGCGGGGGGAGGGGGGGCGGTGGAAGGCGAGCCCCAAGGCCGGCGCGCGGCGCGTCTCTCGCAGGCTCGGGCCTGGCGCGCCGGATTCCAACGGCCGAGCGGCACTAGGGGAAAGGGCACAACAATGGGGGCGCCACGTCACCGCTCGCCCCGCCCACCGACCGCCTCCTGGTTACCTAGCCCCACCCCCATGGCAACAAGTGGCCGAGGCACTGTTCTCGCAGCAACGCATCCTCGTGATGGGCGGGGCCGACGGCCGGAGGGGGCGGGGCGACACTCCAGGGCCTTATAGGAAACGAGGCTAGGGGGCGGGGCCGGGCTGAAGATTGGGCAACGGCGGGGCGGGAGGAGAGCGAAGAGCAGTGGGAGGTAACTGAGGGGCAGAAGGGGAGGAGCAGGGAAGTGTGAGGAGGGGCTGTGTGTCTGGGCGTCGGGGTAGGAGTAGGGGAAGTGTGAGGAGCAGTGGGGGGAGGGGCTGTGTGTCTGGGAGTTGGGGTAGGAGCAGGGGAAGTGTGAGGAGCAGTGGGGGGAGGGGTGTGTGTCTGGGAGTGGGGGTAGGAGCAGGGAAGTGTGAGGAGCAGTGGGGGAAGGGGGTGTGTGTCTGGGCGTCGGGGTAGGAGTAGGGGAAGTGTGAGGAGCAGCGGGGGAAGGGGGTGTGTGTCTGGGCGTCGGGGTAGGAGTAGGGGAAGTGTGAGGAGCAGTGGGGGGAGGGGTGTGTGTCTGGGAGTCGGGGTAGGAGCAGGGAAGTGTGAGGAGCAGTGGGGGGGAGGGGCTGTGTGTCTGGGAGTCCGGGTAGGAGCAGGGAAGTGTGAGGAGCAGCGGGGGAAGGGGATGTGTGTCTGGGAGTGGGGGTAGGAGCAGGGAAGTGTGAGGAGCAGTGGGGGGAGGGGGTGTGTGTCTGGGAGTGGGGGTAGGAGCAGGGAAGTGTGAGGAGCAGCGGGGGAAGGGGATGTGTGTCTGGGAGTGGGGGTAGGAGCAGGGAAGTGTGAGGAGCAGCGGGGGAAGGGGATGTGTGTCTGGGAGTGGGGGTAGGAGCAGGGAAGTGTGAGGAGCAGCGGGGGAAGGGGATGTGTCTGGGAGTTGGGGTAGGAGCAGGGAAGTGTGAGGAGCAGTGGGGGGAGGGGTGTGTGTCTGGGAGTCTGGGTAGGAGCAGGGAAGTGTGAGGAGCAGTGGGGGGAGGGGGTGTGTGTCTGGGCGTCGGGGTAGGAGTAGGGGAAGTGTGAGGAGCAGTGGGGGGAGGGGATGTGTGTCTGGGCGTCGGGGTAGGAGTAGGGGAAGGGAGGAGCAGGGGGGGAGGGGGTGTGTCTGGGAGTCCGGGTAGGAGCAGGGAAGTGTGAGGAGAGGGGGGGGGGGGGGTGGGGGGGGGGGGGGGGGGGGGGAGTGTGAGGAGAGTGGGGGAGGGGAGTGTGTCTGGGCGGGGTAGGAGTAGGGGAAGTGTGGGAGCAGTGGGGGAGGGGTGTGTGTCTGGGAGTCGGGTAGGAGAGGGAAGTGTGAGGAGCAGTGGGGGAGGGGGGGGGGTTGGGGTCGGGGGGGTAGGGGAAGTGTGAGGAGCAGGGGGGAGGGGATGTGTGTCTGGGAGTCGGGTAGGAGCAGGGAAGTGTGAGGAGAGTGGGGGAGGGGTGTGTGTCTGGGAGTGGGGTAGGAGCAGGGAAGTGTGAGGAGCAGTGGGGGAAGGGGATGTGTGTCTGGGAGTGGGGGTAGGAGTAGGGAAGTGTGAGGAGCAGCGGGGGAAGGGGATGTGTGTCTGGGGGGGGGGGAGTAGGGGGGTGAGGAGCAGGGGGGGGGGGTGTGCTGGGGGGGAGGAGCAGGGGAGTGTGAGGAGGGGGGAGGGGTGTGTGTCTGGGAGTGGGGGGCAGGGGTGTGGGAGCAGGGGGGAAGGGGATGTGTGTCTGGGAGTGGGGGGAGGAGCAGGGAAGTGTGAGGAGCAGTGGGGGGAGGGGGTGTGTGTCTGGGAGTGGGGGTGAGGAGCAGGGGGGGGGGGGGGGGAAGGGGATGTGTGTCTGGGAGTGGGGGTAGGAGCAGGGAAGTGTGAGGAGCAGCGGGGGAAGGGGATGTGTGTCTGGGAGTTGGGGTAGGAGCAGGGAAGTGTGAGGAGCAGCGGGGGAAGGGGATGTGTGTCTGGGAGTCTGGGTAGGAGCAGGGAAGTGTGAGGAGCAGTGGGGGGAGGGGTGTGTGTCTGGGCGTCGGGGTAGGAGTAGGGGAAGTGTGAGGAGCAGTGGGGGGAGGGGATGTGTGTCTGGGCGTCGGGGTAGGAGTAGGGGAAGTGTGAGGAGCAGTGGGGGGAGGGGCTGTGTGTCTGGGAGTCCGGGTAGGAGCAGAGAAGTGTGAGGAGCAGTGGGGGGAGGGGGTGTGTGTCTGGGCGTCGGGGTAGGAGTAGGGGAAGTGTGAGGAGCAGTGGGGGGAGGGGCTGTGTGTCTGGGCGTCGGGGTAGGAGCAGGGAAGTGTGAGGAGCAGCGGGGGAAGGGGATGTGTGTCTGGGAGTCGGGGTAGGAGCAGGGAAGTGTGAGGAGCAGCGGGGGAAGGGGATGTGTGTCTGGGAGTCGGGGTAGGAGCAGGGAAGTGTGAGGAGCAGTGGCTGGTATCTGGGTGGAGGAGGGAGTGGGGGGGGGGGAATGATCGGTGAGGTGAATATTAGTTGTGTGGTGTGACTAAGGAGTCACGGGCCTGTGTAGATAAGCAGAGAGGAAGGCTGGGGAGTCTTTACTTTTTAGTAAAGTAAATAGTGGGAAATAGTCACTTCTTGCTTCTAAGGCCATAGGGCACAGGGCTGACAGTAGTTGGGCATCTTCCATGACACTCTGGTGTTTACCAGCCTTTTCAAACTTATGCTTAGGGCCCTACCAAATTCAAGGCCGTGAAAAACGTGTCACGGACTGTGAAATCTGGTCTTTGTACTTTTACCCTATACTATACAGGTTTCATGGGAGAGACCAGACCAGTGTTTCTCAAACTGGGGGTTCTGACCCAAAAGGGGTTTGTGGGGGGGGTTGTTACAAGGTGTAGGGGGGTCAGGGTACTGTCACCCTTACTTCTGCGCTGCCTTCAGAGCTGGGTGGCCAGAGGGCAGTGGCTGCTGCCTAGGAACCCAGGTCTGAAGGCAGCGCCCCGCCAACAGCAGCACAGAAGTTAGGGTGGCAATACCCTGCCACCTTTACTTCTGCGCTGCTGCCTTCAGAGCTGAGCAGCTGGATAGTGGCGGCTGCTAGCCTTGGGTCCACCCCGAAGGCAGAAGTAAGGGTAGCAACAACATACCATGCCATTCTTACTTTTGCACCGCTGGTGGTGGTGCTGTCTTCAGAGCTGGGTTCCCCTGGCCAGCAGCCGCTGCTCTTCGGCCACCCAGCTCGGAAGGCAGTGTTTCCACCAGCAGCAGTACTAAGTAAGGATGGGGGTGGCAATACCGAGATTCCTCCCCTACAATAACCTTGTGACCATCGTACAACCCCCTTTTGGGTCAGGGCCTCTACAGTTATAACACTGTGAAATTTCAGATTTAAATAGCTAAAATAATGAAATTTACAAATCCTATAACCGTGAAATTGACCAAAATGGACCCTGAATTTGGTAGGGCTCTACCTATGCTATATAGCCTTTCAGGATCATTATGCAGTCAGCCAGGTTTCAGGTATACTCCTGAAGCTTTCCCTGCTGACCATCAGGGGAACCTGTGTGTTGCAGAGGCATTGTAGGCAGATTATGTACTTTATTCTTCTGCCTTCTCTATTTCCCCTGGTGAATCTGTCACTCCTCTACTATGTCAGTAGCATGCTCTGCCAGCAAAGAAAGTGACTGGGTAGGGAAAATTGTGGGGAAACAGAGGCTGAAAAAAGGACACAGAAAACAATGGGAGATGGAAAGGAGACCGAATCAGCCTGCTTACATTTTGTAGATAACTTAGCTATTGCTTGAAGTTTCCCTTGTTCTATTGTACTGAAAAGATGACAGGGAGCCTCTGTTGAGGGCAGGTGTTACACTCCAGCATAACTATTTGGCTACTTGGAGCCTTTGTGGATGTAAAGCTATGTTCCTCTGCCCTCCCACCAACCAGTCTTGCTATCTAGGCATCTTGTCCCAAACTTGCTACAGTTTGTTCTGTGACCAGTGCTGCCTCCTCCCTGACTGCATGGTGCTTCAGTGATGACTACTACCAGATACCATTTTACTGTCACTTTTCAGAGCAGAACAAAGCCTTATACTAATATAACTGAATTTTAGATAGCTGAAAATCTAGCTTGGCATAGTCCCTCTCATACTAAAAGGCTGTATCTTGTCACAAATTCAGGTTGTGCCCCAAGGAAATACTTCACATTCCAGAAGATCTCTTCAAAAAATGTTTCAGGTGAATTTCTTTTTTTTACAGTAAACATTATAGGTGGGGCTGCCAGCCCCATTACTTAAGGTTGCCTGATACATCCCATAATAAGACTTTTGTTTAAGTTGCTTATAACTTTGCCAGACTTTAACTGTTTGGACTGATTATTTTCCATGCCAGCTGTTTGCTTCAGGCTGGCGTTTTTTAAATTTCAGCCAAAACGCTTGACATTTTTGAGACTTGGGAAAGAATACATTGTTCTGTCAATGTGAAAAATTTCTTGTGATGCTTTCTTCAACATCTCTAGTGCCACCCTTTCTTTAGAACAGAGACTTGAAATTCGGCAGGGGGCCTTTTTATCAAGGATGTGCCTTTTGTCATCCCTGTGAAAAACTGTTGAAATTTGTTATTAGCCTTTGAAAATTTGCAGTTTGCACATGCTCAATAGAAACTTCTTAGGTTTTAGCAGTTAAATTCCAAATATTATTTCCGCACTAGGCATGCTCCATGCTTTCAGTGCAGTTGCAGCTGTGGGCTGCTGCAGGTTGGGACCCAGCCGGGCACTAGAATGGAGAGTAGGCAGCCGTCTTTTCCTGTGGTTTCAATGACCATCATCCAAGGAAGAGGAGAGTGCCTGGTCCGAATGCAGAGAGGATAAGAGCCAGACTGAATCAAAATCTGAGGATGGTGGGGCAGCTTTCTGATAGGCCCATTAGCCATATTCTGGGGTTGGGAGATTAGATTGGAGAAGTAAAACATGTAATTGATATAGTAACTACCTACTTAAAACAAGTTAGAAAAAATGCAGCTAA